GTTGTGTTACAGTTGCCTACGGTATTCAGTACAGTAACGTGCTGTGCAGGTTTGTAGCCCAGGAGCAATAAGCCATACCATCCAGCCTAGGTGTGCAGTAGGTTATCCCATCTGGGTCTGCATAGCACACTCTGTGAGGGTCACACAACAACAAATCGCCTAACATTGTGTTTCTCAGAATGTGTCCCCATCACTAGGTAATGCATGACTGTAGTTATTAACAGTCCCACTTTACAGATTAGGAAACGGGTACAAGAAAGTTAAAACTTGCTCCAGGTCATGTGATTAATATTAGAGCTGGTATTTGAGCCTTTCTGCCCTGTTCCCACCATGATACTCACTGTGGCTCCTAGTGATGGCAATTCAAACTTTTTCAGGGGTGTGGGCAGCGGTGATGATTATCTTAGAACTGTGTCTTTCTCAGACTTCTCACGCATTCTGTAAAATATGTAGATATACGCAGATATGTGTAGGGAGAGCCTTTCTCAGAGGACCCACAGCCCTTACCGGATGTTTGGCTAATCTTTATACCATTTCTGTAAGATGAGTGGTGTTTTCTGGCTGGGCAGTTGAGGCCCAGATAGGCTCAGGGACTCACCCAGTTCCTTATCACAAACCCACATGACCCAGCCCCCAGTTCCGTTCTCTGTCCTGTCTAGCATAGATTTCACCACTTTTGTTCTTTCCTGTCTTACACCAAGATTGTTTAAGTACTTCCCAAAAATAATGAGCCACGTGTGGGTGTGTTCATTCTCCAGAATGAATCACTGTGAAAGAGGCCGTGAACCAAGGAAAGAAGCATAAATATCTGGAATCAGAGGCTCCTGCCTATTCTGCCCCACTAATTGGTGGACTCTGAAGTGAGCTCTTTTCTGAAAGGCGACTGTGGGTTTGGCCCTGTGTGTCTCACTGTGCTCAGAATAGTCCTCTCTTGAAGTTGTTAATTTTCCCTTGCTTGCTTCCCCAAATAGACCCAATGCTGTTCTCTTTACTGGACATCACAACATGTGTGTTGAGAGGTATGCTGTCCACAGGGACCCCTTTCGTGCCTGAGCGTCCCCACTGACACAAAGAGGAATGGGAATTAGCTGTCTTGGATCAACAGGATTCCAGCATGAGTAAAAGATGTTTGGATTAAGTATTCCGAGAATTGCAGAAGTAAATTTAAAAGCAAAAAGAATAAAAGAGGGAGCAAATAAAGGTTTTGGGAGGAAAAATTAGGAGGTTCCTTAGTCTGTCTTGTGTACAAGGGTTGGAATCGAACTTCAGGAGAAATTTACTTTTAAAGCTCCCTTGTATGATTTGGGTCCTAGTCTAATGGGTGCCTACTTTAACTTTCTGCTTTTAAGAAATAACACTACCCAAACTCTTCAGCAGGTAGCTGCATGTTTTGGAATTTCTCCCAGAAGAAAGGGATCTGACCAAGCATGACAAAATACAACAGGCCATACAGTGAAGATCTACACTGTCTACCTGTCAGTGCTGCCTCTCCTTTTTTTCTTGGGTGGGAATAGCAAGGGGTTGTCTCATTTATAGAAAGCCTGAGGAAGGAGGGGTTGGCCGTGGAGATATTTAGAATCTGTCCTTGGGTTTGAAAGCCAAGAGATGCCTTCCAGAGTATTGGAGGAAGAGACGAAGATAGACTATTTACAGCCTGAATGGGTGAGTTATGACAGGGTAGTTTTTCATGGGATTGGTCATAAATGTCTCTCTCTAGGGGCCTTAGTGTGAGTGTATTCCCATTTGGCATCCAGATAGTATTCACTTAGGGCGCAGTCTGAGACTCGAGCCCCACCTCCATCCCCTGATGCGTGAATGCTTCATTCAGCACTGCAAGTCCCAGCCTCAGTATTCCGGTGGCCAGAGCTACACTCCTGCCCGTCCCAAGAGGTCAGGGCTAGGTTAGTCTCATGGGAGACAGTGTTGGGGAGAACCAACTGCTGCTGTCTGTGCTATTCTTGTTAGTCGGATAAATAAAGGATTTCAGATTCCAGGGCTGCTGAACAGGCTTTCAGAGGCGCCAAATTCATTTACAGTAATTTCCTGTCAAATAGGACGCACTGTGTATGATGCATACCCACCGAAACTCCTTAGTCCCAGAGGTGACTGTGTGAACTATTTGGAAAAAATACTGTGTGTGTATGTGTGCTATCTGGGGTCCTCTCAGGATGGGTTAAACTTATTGAGCACTGTTTTTTGCATAATCTCTTAGTCCTCACAATAAGTCTGTGAAGTGGGCACCCAAATTCTTCTCTTTGGAGGATATCCTGTTTGCCCCTCATGAGAGGGGGACCTGACGTGGTCTAAAGACAGGAGGATGGTGATGGAGTAGTCAGGGAAAGCTTTTCAAAAGAAGTGACATTTGAGTTGAATTTTGAAGGATTTGTAAGAATTAGGCAGGAAAAAAGCGTTGCAGCAAAAGCATGTGTGAGAACATGTGAGAGCATGCATGCCGCGTTTAGGAAGCTGCAGGCTGCCTGGTGCCTGCCAAAGGAGGTGGGGTTGATGACGGCTCTGAGGCACCCTAGGTGGCTTTGCCTGGAGTGTGTGGGTGTGGGTCCTGTATTCTCCAAAGGGAAGACACCTTCCTCCTATCAGGCATCTCAATCTGAAGGAAAAGGTAGTTCCTCTGTCTCTCAAAGGCATAAAATAGAACACTTAGAGGAAAATGATGGGGCCCTGTTTGAGAGCCAAATAAACAGGTGAAAAGATATGCCCCAGTTGAAGATATCTTTCTGGCCCCATCTCTATAAAAGCTCCCTATTTTGGAACATCAAATGTGCTAAGGGATTATCTTCTAAGTTTGGAAAAGGACCTGGAAAAGATCTCACCATCGATGTCAATGTCTGCTCCCAAATTTCCTGCAGCTCTGCAGTGTGCGTGCACCAGCTGCCTACAGGCCAACTACACGTGTGAAACAGATGGGGCCTGCATGGTTTCCATTTTCAACCTGGATGGGATGGAGCACCATGTGCGCACCTGCATCCCCAAAGTGGAACTGGTCCCCGCCGGGAAGCCCTTCTACTGCCTGAGCTCAGAGGATCTGCGCAACACCCACTGCTGCTATACTGACTTCTGCAACAAGATCGACCTGAGGGTGCCCAGTGGTGAGTGGACGCCCTTGTTGGACTATTGGCTCATCTTGGAGGTAGGGCACCCCCGTCGTCTCGTCCTTCTCTACTCTTCCCCAATCCCTTGGTTCGATGATAGGTGAAGGTGCCTTTGGATGTTCCCTAGGTGACAAGGGTTGGGATTCCTCCCAAGTCAGTTTTGTAGGTTAGAGGATGAAGGAGGCAGATTATCAAGTTGGTTCTAGAGGTGCCAGCTTGTTCTGGGTAGTGGCTGAGCAGCCATCAGCAGTGGTGAAGAGTGGAAGAACTAGGCAGGGATCCCCACAGGAGGATGTGGGCCTGCTCTGGAAGGAGATGGCCCAGAGCCATGTGGAGGGAACTGCTCTGAGGAGGGTGGTGGCCAGGCGTGAGGAGGGCTAGAATAGGAAAAGGATGGCGATCAAGGCTAAGGGATACTATATATCATCTCGTTGCCAGTCTGCCATTTAGAAGGTATTACAGTGGAGCTCAAAGGAGAAGGGGAGAAACTAGAGCAGAGCTTAGAGGAGCTATGGTAAGTTAAGAGTAGAAACTGGCATCTTCCAGGGAGGGGGCGCTGAGGCGGGAAGAGTACCCTGAAATGCAGTGAGGTTGCAAAGGGGGTTGTGGGTTTGACTGTTGAAAGAGGCGCCTTAACTAAAGAAGTTTGGCATTTGAGAGCATCTAGGCAGACAAACTAGGCCAGTAAGACCAGAGAGATCGAAGGAACCTGAGTGCCTTGAGAGGGAAAGGAGTCTCTTTCACTTTGGGGTGGGTGTTGGGGATGAATAAGACCACATCTTTCCCTTGTTTTTTTACTCTTGTTCTTTCCTTCTCTTCTCTCACTTGACCCAGGTCACCTCAAGGAGCCTGAGCACTCTTCCATGTGGGGCCCCGTGGAGCTGGTAGGCATTATTGCCGGCCCGGTGTTCCTCCTGTTTCTCATCATCATCATTGTTTTCCTTGTCATTAACTATCATCAGCGTGTCTATCACAACCGTCAGAGACTGGAAGTGGAAGATCCCTCATGTGAGATGTGTCTCTCCAAAGACAAGACGCTCCAGGATCTTGTCTACGATCTCTCCACCTCGGGGTCTGGCTCAGGTACTGAGTTCTCAGGGGTGTCTTGTCTGTTGTTGGCTTTCATCACCGTTTCCCAGCAAGATGGAGTGTTTATGAGAAAGGTCTGGGGCCCTGCATTTGTTTCCACCAGCACTGAGTCATTTGGATTCATAATTCCCCTTCTTTTGGAGTCCTACATATAATGAGATAAGATAATGTGTTTACAGCAAATCTTTCGTTCCCTGGGATTCCGAAGGTCTAGTGCAGAACTCTCCATTGCAGAGACCCTGCCTCTCTCCAAGTCTTGTAACTGCACATACAGCCATTAAATTCAGCTGGTTCCACCTGAGCAGTGGGGTGCTCAGTTTAAGGGCCCCTTTTGAGAAACAGGAGTGTGCTAGATTCCTGTGAGGTGATGACAGCTAATCATTGATCTCTGAGCAACCACAAGGGGAGTTTAAGGACATTGAGTAAAGTTTAGAGTTGGGATTTGGTGAATCATTGACTTGTACCAGTTGCCCATGGTTTTCTGGTGGAGGTTAAAAAAAAGGCAGCTTGGGCTTCCAGCATAGTATCAGCGCCATTTCCTGTGCTGCCTGTTGTTGACCACGTCTCTCTCAGATGAGGGAGCCGACCCAAACGTTGGACCTTGGCATGAGACCAGAATCTAGGATAAAGGGGATTGGGTCATTCAGGTCTCAGGGTGCAGCTCAGCTAGCTATTAGATGTGAACATGACTGCAAAAGATTTTTTTTAATGAAGATAAACCATTATTTTAGTGACAGTGGTATTTCATTCTCATGAAAGAAAGAATCATACACAAAGATCACTGTTGTCATTCTAGCTAAAACACACAGGATCTTATTTGTGAGCATTTGGTTTGTTTTTATGTATGTTTCCTTGCTGTGGGACAAGACTATTGTTCTTTAGGGAAATTATGCCATCAGTCATGGTCAGACATTCTTCCTTGACACAAGGAGAACTTTGAGCTGTGACATCTCCTGAATTTCAGTGGTTTTGCTTTTATTAAGCTTTGCAGAGAGCACCAAAATGATGGATGTATTTAAAAGCTGCATATTTTTAGAAACAGAAAAAAAACTAGGGCTTGTTCTTTGCTCAAAGAGGTAGGGCAGTGGTTAGAACTGCCTGGCTGACTGTGGGACTTGAGTTGCTGCTAGAGGTGAGTAGATAGGGTTTCCTGGAAGTCCATACTGCTCATATGAGTTTCAGTTCATTTTGATAAATATATGCTGAATATCCTCTGAGTGATATAGGATACAACAAAAATTAAAAGGAGGCTGACCCAGGATTGAATAGAAGAGGCAGGGATTATTGGGAAGAGTCTCATAGAAGAGGACGCATTTGAAGGGGTCTTGAAAAATGAGTTAGTATTTTTAATAGAGGTGAGAGCAGAGAACATTCCAGGCCAGTGAAAATACCTTGAGTAAAAAGGCATGAAGACTTGCTGTGTATTTAAGGAACTTATGATAAGGAGACCAGCATGGTGTGCTCATGCTCGGGGGCAGGGAAAGACAGGCTGGCCCAGATGTAAAGGACCATGGGGGCCATACTTTATCTTGTATGTAAGAGGCATCTACTGAAAAGTTTTCATGTGGGAAGATGAATGTTCATTTTTTCCTTTGGAGGGAATTCTGGCAGTGGTGTGGAAGATGAATTCATCCATTTACCAGCCTCCTGTTCGGAAGGGTGGGGTGAGGCAGGGCTGTGCGTGGGTTTGCAGGGCAAGAGCATTGTGAGATGGGAGGCAGAAAGACCTGTTTGGAAGTCTTTAAGGGCCAGAGGTGGTAGGACAGGTGCACAGGGGATAGAGAGGAGAGGTCTAGTTTGACAACATTTTGGTGGTTCTATACTGTTGCTGTTAAAAGCATAGACTATGGAGTCAGTCCTAGATTTTAACCCCTGCCTTGCCACTTACTGCCCGTATGAATTTGAATGAGTTCCATAACATTCTTCTTTGAGCCTTAGTTTTCTCCTCTTTAAAATGGGGATAATAAAAATACCTTCCTTACAGGCAGTTGTGAGGAAATGAGATAATTTGTGTAAAGCCCTTGGTATAGAGCCTAGTGCATAATAAATTGGTAGTTCAAATCTGCCAAACCTGGAGATTAATAACAAAGTTTTTTATTTGGTGGGTGGGGCGTTGGGAGTAAGAGAGTTAGACTCAGTCATAACGGTAAAGGCGATTGGGATACACTGAATGAGTCAAAGGAAGCAACAGTGAGTCTTATAAAGACAGTGAAATTAATCTTAGAATAAGTATAGTGTTCTACATCTTCAGCTCCACCTGTTAGCAGAGCTTTGCTCTGGGTGAAGAGCTGGCAACCCATGGGCTGGGCAGCACCGCCCTCTAGTGGCTAACGAGCAGAGTGTCCAGAAAGCAGCTCCCAGCACACAGTTCCCACTTGGTGTTCCCTGCCCCCTTTCCTTCCTCCATCAGGTTAAAGCAGATGTGGGTGGATTGGCCCACCGGTGTCTGGCTGCAGAGTTGGTAAATCTGCCCAAACATTTACATTCAAGGGGGGGATAGTGGGAAGGGAATGAGGAAAGGAAAATTTCCTGTTGGGTATAATATACGCTATTTGTGACAGGTGTACTAGAAGCCCAGACATCACCACTCTACAGTACATCCATGTAACCAAAAACCACTTGTACCCATAAATTAAAAAATGTAATTGTTGAGATACATCTGTGATCACTTATGACTTCATCTGTATTTACGTTTTATTTATAAAAGTTCAGTCACTCTGTGTATGATAAGAGTCTTATTTTTCATGTAACATTATTTATAACATTTTCTTTGACTTTTTCTGTGTATGTATGGTTTAAGTTCATATTTAACATTTTAAAGGATGGCCATAGTATTTTATCCAGTTGATAGGACTACTTATTTTCCGAAAGATCTATTCCTTATTATTGGAACTCCCTGAACAACAACAACAAAAAAAAAACAACATTCCTACTATCACTTACAGAAAAATTTGTTTCATTGTATACTCAATGAAATACTTTATTTGAACATACTGTGAGGTCAATATTAGGCAATAAAACATAAAAATGTTGATGGTGGCAATTCTAAAAAAAATTTACATTCGAATCTGTCATCCATATAAACTGAGAGGAGGAGTAGCTTAGCGAGGGAGCAGCTAATCATGTGTGTTGCCCTCCCTGTGTTCACTCACTCCCGGTCGCCGCCGGCTCAGCCCTCTGGTAGATTATCTAGACATGGCGCAGGGGTGGCAGCAGCTCTCTGTGGTTAATGACCGTTGTAGAGCAAACACGCTGTTTTAAGGGCCTTTCCACTGTGCCATTGAACGTGGGCGTCGCAAAGTTTGACAGATTTGCAATGTCAGGTTTCTTTCCATTCTTTGGTCCACAGGGCTACCTCTTTTTGTCCAGCGCACCGTGGCCCGAACCATCGTTTTACAGGAGATTATTGGCAAGGGTCGGTTTGGGGAAGTGTGGCGTGGCCGCTGGAGGGGTGGTGATGTGGCTGTGAAAATTTTCTCTTCTCGCGAAGAGCGGTCTTGGTTCCGGGAAGCAGAGATATACCAGACAGTCATGCTGCGCCACGAGAACATCCTTGGATTCATTGCCGCTGACAACAAAGGTAAAAGGCTGGGCTTGGATACAGTGTCCCCAAAGTGGCAGCATTCCCAGATGGAGGATGACTCGGGAAGGTGTGCGGCTGTGTGGCACACAGCTCTGTTTGCCCTCATCGTTGTTACCCGTAGAAACGGGACCTGAATACGGTCATGGTTTCCACATTTTTCTTAAGGTGCGGAGACTTCTCTTTCCTGAAAAGCTTATACGGAAACCCAGGTTATCAAGCAGCTAAAGAACAGTGCTATTAAACAGATAAACAACACTCAGCCCCTCACCTGCCGGCTCAGTGTCTCTTTTTTATCACTCTCCCAGACCCATTTCCAGTGTACCCTGCAAGGGCTCTAGTAAGTGTATTTTGAAAATCACTAGGATGAGGAATTGCGGCCTCAACCCTGCCAGGAAAGGACACCCACAGAAAGGCATGTGGTCCACGAAGTGTCACCCAGTGGCCTTCAGACTCAGGTTTTGGTCTGGCTTGTACCCTTGTTTTCTCCTTCCTCTGCCGCCTTTTCTTGCTTTAATTTTTGAGTCTGTGTTGTGTGCCCAGGCACATTTCTATTTTTGAGGCTCTCACTGATTAGCAAAGAGGTGAGCACAAATTGGGGGCGAGTCACACCTGAGCTTGATTGAGACGACGGTGGCAAGAGTTGGTCAGGAAGAATAACCGGTGGGACGGGCACTGTAGACACATGCAGAAGTGAGGAATAACTTGGGCTGGCAGTGCCACAGCAAAGGGTGGAGAGGTAGGCAGAGGCCAGATTATGAAGGGCCTTTCTGAGAGGATTGTGTTTTATTCTGAAGATAGTGGGTAGTAATTGAAATTTCATTCATTAATTCAGTAACATTTATTTTATTTTATTTTTTTGAGACAGAGTCTCACTGTGTTACCCGGGCTAGAGTTCCGTGGCGTCAGCCTAGCTCAAAACAACCTCAAACTCCTGGGCTCAAGCGATCCTCCTGCCTCAGCCTCCCGAGTAGCTGGGACTACAGGCATGCGCCACCATGCCCGGCTAATTTTTTCTATATATTTTTAGTTGTCCGATTAATTTCTTTCTATTTTTAGTAGAAATGGGGTCTCGCTCTTGCTCAGGCTGGTTTCGAACTCCTGAGCTCAAACAATCCGCCTGCCTCGGCCTCCCAGAGTGCTAGGATTACAGGCATGAGCCACCGCGCCCGGCCTCAGTAACATTTATTGACTGCTGTGGACCAGGACTGCTGCCAGCCGTGTGGATCATGACACGCAAGAGCAAGACACAGTCACAGCCTTGCCCTTACAGACCTGGGGTAGGGGGAGCAGACGTGCACCTGGAGTGCAGAGAGGACGGCCAGGACGTGACCAGGTCCACATTGTAGAAGAGTCTGGCAGTTGTGACACAGCTTGCTCCTGTGGTGCAGTGAGTTTTAGACGTTAGTGTCTGCAAAGCCTGTGGAAGATGCTAAGTATTTGTTTTTTGTTCCTAAAACAATAGCAAGCTGCTCATTCCTCACGTTGCTGTGGGGGGTTGTAATGGCCTCAGCTGCTCCCAAGCTGAACAGTCTTGGGCTGGTACGCAAGGCAAGAAGGGGAAGAGAGTTATTTACTCTCTCTGAGTAAGCTGTTCCTTTTTAAAACAGCATCACCTTTTGATAAAGTTTAAATCTTCCATATATCTTAAAGGATCAAAATGTTATTGACTGTTTTGATAAACATGATAAGTAAGTTAAAATGGAAGCCTTTTAACTTATCTGCAGGGTCCTCAGGACTTCGGGGCTGGTTAGAGTGTAAGCAGCAATGTGCTGGGTGAGTCCCTTGTTTCGGATAAGAGAAGTGAAGATTTGTGTGGTTCCAGGACCACTCCCTTTATTGACTCTGGCAGCGCATGTGAGTAGGGATCTGGCTGTCAAAACCCACATTAGGGCCAGGGAAGGAGAAAAACCAGACTCCTTCGTTCTTGCCCTTTAAACATGATATATGTAGTATTGTACCCTGGAATTAGCAGCAGCCTGGAATTTTGGAGATTTCAATCCAGTTTCCAGTCTTCTATCATCAGCAGCATAGCGTAATTAGAGTCCTGCTTTTAGTGTTTTTCTCCCTCCCTCCCCTTGTCATCCTCTTCACTGCCCCATGTATGAAAGAGAGAAAACCAAGTGTGTGCTGTCCACCTTCCATTGTTCTTCTGAAGGATAAGATGACCTCTCTGGGAATACTAGGAAGCAGGTTGTTCATGTGTTGAATAGCTTTTTTTGGCCTGGCATACAACAATGTGTAAAGGAGATCTTTCCTACCCTCACAGAGAGCTCATGGCCTGGTAAGGGCTACAGCCTGAAAAGGAGCATTTCAGATGAGACAGGTGCTGGGGGTGGGCTGTGGTCAGAGGGTCCTGGGACCCAGAGGAGGACCTCCAAGGCTTTTCTCCTTGGCGGTAGTGAATGCAGCCCATCTGGTTCTCACCTGTAGGTGAGCGAGTCTTGTCGGGACCCAAGCAGCACTGCACACAAAGCTGGTGATACCTGTCACTTTCCCTAAGCATATGCTTTCCTTTTCTGGACACCTCACATTTCAAATTTGGCGTAAAAAGGAAGCACTGTTCAGAATCCTACTGCCCACCTAAAAATAATGGGAGCAGGCCTAAAACAGAAGTGGTGTTCTCCTGTCCTTACTGGAGCCTGAAACTAGTAGACCACTGTAAATGAAATGGGCATGGGCTGGCGGGGGGGAAGGTGAGGGCCATCAAGAGGTGTGGAGGGGAGAAATATGAATTCAGCAGTCTAACTGGATTTTGTGTTGTACATAGTCATCCTTTCCAACTTTAACCTTTGTGCCGGTAGTTGTACCTTTTGCGGAATTCAACTCTGGTTCTCTGCAGATAATGGCACCTGGACACAGCTGTGGCTTGTCTCTGACTATCATGAGCATGGCTCCCTGTTTGATTATCTGAACCGGTACACAGTAACAATCGAGGGCATGATCAAGCTGGCCTTGTCTGCTGCTAGTGGGCTGGCGCACCTGCACATGGAGATCGTGGGCACGCAAGGTGAGCGCACCAGTTGCAGGACCGTGTGGTGGGGTAGGCTTCAAAAGTCTGTACTGTCCTGATTTTGTTCCTGGAATTCCATTTTACTGAGAAAGTTGGGACTGGACTTTAGGAACTGTAGTCTAATCTAAAGGAAAGAGATTTGAGCTTTGAGTAAGAACAAGAGGCATCTACAGGGTGTTCTCTTCACCTCTGTCTTTAGAACTCCTTCAGGAGCTCTGTAATGTCAGTATTCACTTATTTGCCAATCGATGTCCTGACACAGTTGTTTGGTATTAAGGAGTAGTCATCTCAGAAGCCCACAGTACACATGGAAAAGAATGCATCTACAAAGCTAGGCGTGGTGGAATGCCCCTGTAGTCCCAGCTACTCAGGAGGCTGAGACAGGAGGATCACTTGACCCCAGGAATTCAGTGCCACAGTGCGCTATGATAGACACTGCACTCCTGTGACTAGACACTGCACTCCAGCCTGGGCAACATAGTGAGACCCCACCTTTAAAAAATAAATAAAAATTAAAAAAGAATGGAGCTAAAAAGATAAACCAATGCAACAGAAGCATCAGTTTAGTAATTTCAGATATTCCTTGTTGGGGACAGCTGGCTTCTTGGTGGATTAGACACTGGGCTTTACTAATCTAGTAAGGTTTTCCTAGAGGAAAAAGACCTCAAGCTTTACTGCCTATTGACTGTAATGTTGGCTCTTTGGGAGATCCTGGATCTTGTCACAGTGGCAGGTGTGATCCCTGATGCCTGGTTGATCAGGGCAATAGCTAGCTCTTGCTGGCCATGAAAGAAAACCAACCCTGAAAGTTCGATCCTGTTAGTAGTTTATGCAGTTCTATTAGTAGTCCTTATCTTTGGGCCTCTTTGATTCTGAGACTAGCCAACACAGCAGCTTCTCTTGGAATTCCCCAGAAGTTCTTTACCTAAGCATATTTGTTCAGGGAAAGTGAGGAGTAGTAGTATTAATAGTAATATTAGCTAATATGCATGTACTTCTAAGGTCTTTACTTACCTACATCAATGCACTTAATCCTCACAGCAGTCCCATGAAGTAAGTACTGTCATTCCGATTTTATAGATGAGAAGACCAAGGCACAAACAAATGGGTTAAGTTATTTTCTCGGGGTCACTGGGTTAGTGGGAGGCAGAGCCAGGACTCAAACCCACACAATCTGGCTGCAGAGTTTATGCATTTAACGTTTATATTATGTCTCTTTAAAGATCCCTTGTTTTTTTCCTGCTAGGGAAGCCTGGAATTGCTCATCGAGACTTAAAGTCAAAGAACATCCTGGTGAAGAAGAATGGCATGTGCGCCATCGCAGACCTGGGCCTGGCTGTCCGTCATGATGCGGTCACTGACACCATCGACATTGCCCCAAATCAGAGGGTGGGGACCAAACGGTAGGAAGCCTGGGCCTCTGCTCTCGCTCAGCAGCTTGTACTGAGTGTCCCATGTGTGTACCCTTTCCCATATGTGCAGGAGAAGGCGGTCTAGAAAAAGGAGGTGAGGACCTTGTTCTCACCCCGCTGAGGGTGCAGTTGAACACCCACTCTCCACACCGGAAAGCTGCACAGTCGCATCTAACAGATACAAGTGCCAAGAGCACAGCTCTGTAAAATTGTATAGGTGTTGGTGGTATTTGGTGGGCGGAGGGGAGAAGGAGACTCTGGAGCAGGATTTAGAAGGGTGGTAGGTACCAGGCTTGGCAGGGGGAAGAGAGAAAATATCGCAGTCCACAAGGGTGGCTTGTGCAGAGAGCACTGAAGGAGGCAGACAGCGTGTTCTGCCTGGGGGTTGGAGCAGGTTTGCCAAGCTGTAGCAGAGGGAACCTAGGGTGGAGAGTGGGGCACCTTTCAGGATTATGGGCCCGCTTCTCACGTCATACAGAAGTGAAGTAAGAAGTGAGGACCCGTGATTGCAGATTGACTGTATGAGTTAGAAATGAGACTGCCTTTTAATTGGATGGAAAAGGGGGATCTGTTTGCTGAACCTAAATGAATTTCATTAAATTGTGCTGCTAGTATTTTTTGTTCTTTTGACCTAAATGATTGCAGCTACCCAGACCCCAAAGTGTGGAGCCTGAGGTGATCCCTGATTTGTTGTGGGGTGGGGTAATTACTACTCAGAGTCACTAAGGGTGACACTGACCTCCTCTAGAATTAATTTTCACAGGCGCTATTAGCACTGACCTTTCTTTTTCTTTTCCTTCTCTTTCTCTTTATTTAAAAAAAAAAAAATTTCACCCCCACATATCCGGCCAGGCATGGTGGCCCATGCCTGTAATCCCAGCACTCTGGGAGGCCAAGGCAAGAGGATCTCTTGAGGCCAGGAGTTAGAGACCAGCCTGGGTGACATATTGAGACCGCATATCTATAAAAAATTTTAAAAATTAGCCAGGTGTGGTAGTGTGTGCCTGTAGTCCTAGCTGCTCAGGAGGCTGAGGCAGGAGGATCTCTTGAGCCTGGGAGTTAAAATTTGCCGTGAGCTATGATGGTACCACTGCACTCCAGCCTGGGTGACAGAGCGAGACCCTGTCTCTTAAAAAAAAAAAACAATTTTTTCCCCCACATATCTGCCAAGACAGGTAAGATAACAAAAGAGGTTGAGAATGAAATTTAAGCTCAACCTATCACTGTGGCTATACTCAATAAAATGAAAGGCCCCTTTCAACCAGATATTACATACTATTACTGCCCATGTGACCCACGGTACAAGTACCTCTGGCAAACATGCTTCAAATAAACAAATCTTGATGGTTAAAAATAGAGATACACATAAGAGTAGCCAAGTCTATGCTCAAGTGTTCAGATTCAAATCTAAAACATGGGAGTTTGCATTGAAGAGATGGGCTTACTTCCTCCTCCCCAAGTGATTCTATTGGGGTGATGCTCTGTCACATTCAGAGGGCCCCTGAATCAATACTTTGGTTTAAAGAGCAATCATCATTTTCTGTGCATGACTGTGTTTGTTTTGCTGTTGCAGATACATGGCCCCTGAAGTACTTGATGAAACCATTAACATGAAACACTTTGACTCCTTTAAATGTGCTGATATCTATGCCCTCGGGCTGGTATATTGGGAGATTGCTCGAAGATGCAATTCTGGAGGTACCTTTCTTTTTTGCCTTCTCTTGCTCCTGCCTCCCAGTTCCAGAGTCCTGGATCACCCGAGGGGCTGGTATTTACTGCCTCCTTTCTTTTTACAACCTGTTGGATGTGCGCTGCCAGAGCCTGAATCACACACTTTCGGTTCTCATCAGAGGTGTGGGACCTTGGAGGCAGCTGTGCTAAGGGCGTGTTTACTCTTCGGACCAGCTTGTGGAATGGTGTTTTTCCTTGTGGTAACCATTCTGAAGTCCTGGTTGGCTTTTTTTTAAAAACCACATTGTCTGCATTATTCTATGGAGGTGGGAGGTGCCCTGGGTGCAGATAGCAGAGGATTCACGCAGGGCTGTCCTTTACATCAGAGGCAGTATATTCTAACACTCTGGCTCTCAAGCCACTTTCCTGGGGAACCCTGGTGTTTCATCGCTAAAATAATAGTGGTAATTTCCAAGTTTGCAGATGTGCATAGAATATTTACAAAATGAATTCTTTCCCTCCCATAATTAAAAAAAGTCTTTTTTTAAAAAAAGTGGCATTCGCAACTTCTTATTCATGTCAGAATCCAGTAAAAGATAGTGTCACATTTAGCAGAAAACACTTTTTATCATCAACTTAGTATATCAGTATTTTATGACAACCTTCAAGTATTCTGCCACATGATCAAGTTCAAGACCCTCTAGAGCCTTGCCCTCAGCCATTTCTCTCTAATGATAAGAGATTCCAAGGCAATGGAAGTGGTCGAATTAAAAATAACTGATAAGTCTCCAACAGAACCCTTTGTGTATTACTACCCTTTTCCATCTATGACATGTTTGGTAAAATCCGAATTATGGAGAAGGTGCCCAGGTATTACTCATGGAATTGGACCTCTTAAATTTTGATCCGTATATACAGATAAAACAGATTAAGAAAAACCTGGTCACATATGTGAATAAGTTCCTTTCTTCTTTCTCATGACATCCAGAAATTGGGGCTAAGTATGTAACAATATTAACATTCACCACCCTGATTATACCAATTCCATATATTAGCTAGATTTCTTCTTTAAAGCGAAACTTCCCCTAATTATCTATTTGGTTTCCAAGAGGCATCGTTTGTATAGGAAGGCAGGAAAAATACTTGATTCTTTCCATTTATTTACCATTTTTCAAAGTGATGAAGTCTTCCATAGCATCCTACAAAGGTGACTGAGGTGTTTTTTTTTTTTAGAATTATTATGAACCGGTGGATTTAAAAATACTTGTTTCCATTGAGGTTATTAGTCTTATTGTTACTTAGGTATTTTTATCTTTGGCCAGTTAGATTTTCAAGTTGGTGCCTTTTTTTTTTTTTTCCTTAAAGAGAGAGAGGGTCATCTTCTATTGCCCAGGCTGGAGTGGTGCAGTGGCACAATCATAGGTCAGTGCAGCCTTGAACTTCTGGGCCCAAGTGATCCTTCTTGCTCAACCTCCTAAGTAGCTAAGACTACAGGCACGCACCCCCCATACCTGGCTAATTTTTAAAAAAATTTTTTTAGAGAAACGGGGTCTCACTAAGTTGCCCAAGCTGGTCTCAAACTCCTGGCTTCAAGCGATTCTCCGTTCTTGGCCTCCCAAAAATGCTGGGATTACAGGTGTGAGCCACTATACCCAGCCAAGTTGGTGCCTTTTGACATAATCCCAGCAGTCTTTGATAGTTTCCTTGCTTTTTTGGTATGATAAAGATGTTCCTGGCTACTCTTGTGTATTTCTTATCCCATACCTAAAGTCAACCAAGTTCTCCAAGGAGCCCTAGTTTATCTTAGTGGTGTTTACAGATCACAATGTGAATGTTGTCATTGTCATTGGCTTTCAAATAATCTTCCTTCTGTTGATAACTCAGGTAGATATTTTCTTTTCTCCCAGGAGTCCATGAAGAGTATCAGCTGCCATATTATGACTTAGTGCCCTCTGACCCTTCCATTGAAGAAATGCGAAAGGTCGTATGTGACCAGAAGCTACGTCCCAACATCCCCAACTGGTGGCAGAGTTATGAGGTAGGAAGCTTCCCTGCCTCCTGTGGCTCTTTCATCTGCCTGATTTCTCTAGTTTAAAGAAGGGTCAGATAATGGGGTCAGACCCCAGGGATACCCCCTGCTAGTGTCAGTTATCATATACTGTCATATGCTACTATACACTGAGCCCTTTGGGGCTGCAGTCCCTTGTCCTGCATACTATACGGTGCCCTTTGGAGTTGACGGCCTTGTAGAAGAAAATGATTTCATCCCCAGGACACAGATAAAGGAGGTGGGCAACAAGAGACAGAAACAAAATCTGAACTTGGAGCTGTTAGACATATCAAACTAGAAAAATGGCTCTGGAGCCCTGGGGATGAGCGGAGCTCTGTAGGAGAGCTAGGAAGAGGCTCTTAGACTCAGCGGAGGGGAATGAAGGATGCACTTAGCAAGAGACATGCCTGTGAGGGAAGTGGCCTTTCCAGAGGCTCAGAAGAAGGGAGCAGGGTGACATGTGTGATGGGCTTGGGATTAGGATGGAGAATTCGAATTTAGGAGAGATGGCAGATGAAATGGGAGGGAGTGGATGACATTTGGTAGAAAAAATTGAAATGAGGACAAATTTATGACATAGATTCCTGCTAATCATAGAATTCTGGAGTCTCCGAATCTTCGGGGGAAAACAGTGTTTGCCTAGCTAAGTGCACATGGGCCTCCCTTTCACTCATGCCTCTGTTTTTCGTTTTACTTATTTTTTTTCTAGCTTTATTGAGGTATAATTGATAAATAAAATTGTAATCATACAACATGCTACTTTGATATATATATAGCGAAAGATTGCCACATTGAAGTCAGTTGGCACATCTGTCACGTCACCCAGTAGCCTTTGTGTGCTGCGACAAGGGCAGTTAAGATCTGCTCTCTCTGCAGATTTTAGGCATACAGCACGGTGTGTTGACTCTAATCGCCTTGCTGTCCATTAGAGCCCCAGAACCTATTCATCTGGTAATGAAATGGGGAAAGGTTGGCTCTGCTTATAAGAGTATGACCACTAGAGGGCATTTTGCATTTAAGAACAAAATTGCTTAGCACACATTTTGGGTGATGCCTTCTCGTTGCATAATTGAGCAGCATTTTTCAAAGTGTTTTCAGAACCCTCAGGGTAAGGTTTACTGCAGAGGATGAGAGTGAGGCTGAAAGAGCTGGTCTTTAGCTGTAGCTTTTGCCTTGTCCCTGCACAACCTGTCCTCTACGGAAGGAAGAGCTAAGGGGAAAGGGAGGCGTACCGAGCATTTCCCTAAGGTCAGCTGGTGGGGGTGGATTCCGCTAGACTCCACGAGGGGGAAGCAGTAGGGAAGTGAGTGAGGGCCTAGGGACTGGAAAGCCTTCTCCAAGGCATTGTTGATGGGCTGTGGGTCTCTCCGTGCAGGCGTTACGGGTGATGGGGAAGATGATGCGAGAGTGTTGGTATGCCAATGGCGCGGCCCGCCTGACTGCTCTGCGCATCAAGAAGACCCTCTCACAGCTCAGCGTGCAGGAAGATGTGAAGATCTAACTCTGCTCCCTCTCCCCCATGTGCACCTCTGGGCAGTGAGAACTACATACAGCTGCCACGTTGAGCGTACGATGGAGGCCTACCTCTCGTTTCTGCCCAGCCCTCTGTGGCCAGGAGCCCTGGCCTGCAAGAGGGATAGAGCCCGGGAGACTCGCTCACTCCCACGTTGGGTTTGAGACACAGACATCTTTTCTATTTACCTCCTAAAGGCATGGAGACTCTGAGAGCGAATTGTGTGGAGAACTCAATGCCACAACTCAAACTGGTTGTAGTGGGAAGTCCTGCAAAACCCGGTGCATCTGGCGTATATAGCCAGGAGTGGTGAAGGGGGTGGCCTGGGAGGGGCCAGAGGAGCTGAGTTGTTGCCAGTACTAAGCCGTGCTGAGGGTTTTCCTCCATGGACCAACCCGTAGCACACCACGGTGGCCCAGAGGAACTGGAGTGCAGCCCCTCTGACAAGCAGCTCTGAGCCGCGCGCTCCCCTCCTCCTTCATGTGGACATCTGGAGGGACTGCCAGTGGGGACAGAATCTGCCGCCTGTCTGTCCAGCGTGTGTGCATGTGCCGAGGTGTGTTCCCCGTTGTGCCTGGTTCGTGCCACGCCCTTACACTGTGTGTGTGTGTGTGTGTGTGTGTGTGTGTGTGTGTGTGTATATGTGTGTGTCTGTAGGTGCGCACTTACCTGCTTGAGCTTTCCGTGCATGTGCAGGTCGGGGGTGTGGTTGTCATGCTGTCTGTGCGAGCTGGTGCCTCTGTTCAATAGTGAGAGCATCTAGACCAGGCGCGGTGGCTCACGCCTGTAATCCTAGCTCTCTGGGAGGCTGAGGTGGGCGGACTGTTTGAGCTCAGGAGTTCGAAACCAGCCTGAGCAAGAGTGAGACCCCGTCTCTACTAAAATTAGAAAGAAATTAATCGGACAACTAAAAATATATAGAAAAAATTAGCTGGGCATGGTGGCGCGTGCCTGTAGTCCCAGCTACTCGGGAGGCTGAGGCAGGAGGATCGCTTGAGCCCAGGAGTTTGAGGTTGCTGTGAGCTAGGATGATGCCACGGCACTCTAGCCCGGGCAACACAGTGAGACTCTGTCTCAAAAAAAAAAAAAGAAAAAATAGAGCATCTAGTGTCCCTGGTGCCCTTCCCTGGAGGTCTCTCCCTCCCTTCCCTCCCCTCCCCCCAGAGCCCCTCATGCCTTGGTGGTACTCTGTGTCCAGCAGGTTGCTCTGCTCAACCCAGTGTCAACACAGCTCTCCTCCTCCATTTCAGACTGTGGAACCAAAGCTGGCCCACTTGTCCATGGCAGAAGAGGCTTTTGGGTCAAAATGTGAGGGAGGGGTTGGGGTGGGCAGGGAAGGAATCTTGGCAGAAGTCTTGGTTGTGGTCAGCGTCAGCCACGGGAATGAGCCAGCCCAAGGGTGTCATGCTCAGCACCATGGAGGAAGGGCCAGGAATGTGAACCCAGGTCTTGGGACTCAGATTGGAATGTCACATCTGTCTTTCACATCCCAAATTCTGGAAACAGCAGTGTATATTTTTGGTGGTGGTGGGTTTGGGGTGGGGAAGGGAAGAGGGTGGGAAACGTGGGGAGGGGTCTGGGGAGGGAGGGAGGGAGCATCTGCATGGGTCTTTTCCTGGATTACCTGATGGGCGGAGGGAAGAGGAGAGATTGGAATCTACTTCAGGGGCCCTGCTAAAGGGAGCAGCCTTCTCAGACCCTGTCATTTAACTGAGTGTCATACTTAATGAAGTCTAGAAGCACGGCTGTGGGTGGTGATTTGGTCAGCATATTTTAGGACTATAATAACTTTGAAGCCATAACTTTTAACTGGAGTGGTTTGATTTCTTTTTTTAATTTTATTGGGAGGGTTTGGATTTTAACTTTTTTTTAATGTTGTTAAGTTTTTGTAAAAGGAAAACCATCTCTGTGATGATTACCTCTCACTCTATTTGTTTTTAAAGAAATCCCTAAAAAAAAAAAAAAACCAAAAAAATCCTCTAATCAAGCGCACATAGCTCAGTCACACTGGAAATGTTTGTCCTTGCTCCTGAGCCCTCCACACTCAGCAGTGAGGTTTCCTCTTTGCCCTGGGGGCTCCGTCTCTCAGCATTCTGCCTCCACCCCCATTCCCTGAGCGGCTCTTCCTCCAGGGCCCTCGCCTTTTGTGCATTGTCCAGCTGGTCGCAGCCTCTCTAGGCATTTATTCAACAACTGTGTGCTGAGTGCCTGCTGGGTGCCAGGCACTGCGCCAGGCGCTGGGAATACCGCCTGGAACAGGACACGCTTGGGTCCTCCTCCCAGAGCACTGAAGAAGGAGCTGATTCAAGTAAGTGGGTGCCTATTTTGAGAGCAGAAAGTTTCATAATTGGTTCTAAGACCCTTTTGAGCCTGGATTTACTGTTCTTACGTAAGATCACTGAAGAAAGAGGAACCCCTGCCACCCACTACAAAGAAACCAGTGGTGGGCAATGAGGCCTGGGGTGTAGAACCCCAGGTGAGACCCCAAATCACTGCATTCATTCTGAGCCCCCTTCCTGCCCCCAGGGAGGTGCATCATGTATGCAGCCTTAGAACATCTCTGCCTCCAGCCCAGCGGTTCTCTGCCAAAGCCCGTGGAGGAGGGAGAGCCCTCTCCTGCCTCAGTCTCCCCAGTGCTCCTGCCTCTTCTATTTATTTGCCTGATGTATTGCTTCTTTCCTTGCATTAAAGGAGATCTTCCTCTAACCCTTTGGGCCAATTTACTGGCCACTGACTAACTTTCCTTCAATACCAATTGTGTCATTAGGGGGCCCTTCTTCCCCCCGCTGACCTCCCACCTCTCCACCCTGCAGCAGAGCCTTGGTGGGTTATAGGTGATAACGGAACTTAAACAACTCTGCCTGGAGTCAAAACTAGCCTCTGGGGTCTGCCAACACACGTCCACCCAGCCACTCCCAAGCCACTAGCTCACTCCTCAGGTGGACCTTCTGCCCTCACCACACAGGTAGTCCAGCTCCTCCACCTCTGGGGAAGATGGAGCAGGTTTGGGGGAAGCTCCTACACCCACCGTTGCCGCTCTTAACACCAAGCACGAGTGGGGGAGAAGCTCAAGCTGTGTTTTTGGCCTCTGAGGCTAACCCTGATCCATAGGGCTACCTGCACCTCTGGATTCTGGATTCACAGACCAAGTCCAAGCCCGTTCTTATGTCGCCACTAAGGCCCCCGAACGGCGTTCTCGGTACTTCTGTTTGTTTTTGTACATTTTATTAGAAAGGACTGTAAAATAGCCACTTAGACACTTTACCTCTTCAGTATGCAAATGTAAATAAATTGTAATATAGGAAATCTTTTGTTTTAATATAAGAATGAGCCTGTCCAATTTCTGCTGTACATTATTAAAAGTTTTATTCACAGAGCTTTCCTGGTGCCATCTGTCTTACGTATGTAGAATGACTGCCCAGCTTTTATCAGGGGATGGACAGTTGGGGACGACGGGCACGTGGTTCTAAGGTGGGATTTCCACGCTGCTGCTGGCCAGGGACGGATGTCCACACCAACTGTGGCAGAGCACGTTCAGCAGAGGTGCTGGTCTCAACGTCTTGGGGCTCCCTGAGACTTGCTGTGTGTTTCACAGAGCAAGGGCCTGGCGTGTGGGGGAGCAGGAGACACCCGAACACCCCTGGGCTCTGCCTGAATCTTTTCTTTCAGTGTTTCTCTCTATTTACAGGAGAGGGTCTTGCTCCTGGTTCATCACATGCTTTCATGTCTCGGCGGCATGAGCCTCCTCAGTTTTGCTCCCCTCCTCCTAAAATAAAGCATAATCATGAGTTCCGGGGTGCTTAGGTGACTGAGATGCGAGTCTTCAATGGTTACTCTGGTGTCTTCAGTGCACGGGTGGGTGTGAATGTCCTTTAAGCTGAGGGGATCTCAAATAGCGAGTCCTAGAATCATACGTCCAGTTTAGATGGGACCCGAAAGGTCCCCCTAGTTCACCACCGTCAGGCACTTGACTGCCCTGCAGCGTCCCTGCCAAGTGGCTGTGGCCTCCTGCTCTAGCACTTAGGGGACTACAGCAGGCCGTGCTGCTCAGTAGAGAGCTCTTCCTTCTGTAGAACTGGGCAGCCTCCATGTAACTTCCACAGGGTTTGCAGAGCAGTTATTCTCTCTTCCCTTATAAGGTCCCTTAAAATATTTGAAGGCAGCTGTCACGTTATCGTGAATCTTCTGGCAAAGCTTTGAATTTCTTCAGTTACATTAGCAAATACGTATTGAGAACTTACTGTGTACTAAGCAATGTGCCAACATTTGCTTTACATATATTAGCTGCTTTAATCCTCAGAACAGCCATATGAAGTGGCCATTATTATCTTCTCTGTATGGATTAGGAAATGGAGAATTAGAGAAGTCAGATAGATTGCCCAAGATCACTTAGCTTGTGGGTGGAAAAGACCTTGGGTCAAGGATGTTGACCGCAGACCACAGCCCCTTCCCCACCATGCTGCCCTGCCGCATGGTTCCACGTTCACCCAGGCTGGCTGCTCTCTTCTGAGGCTAGCTGGAGCCTGGGGCCAGAAAGGATGGGTAACCTTCCCTCTGGGTATTAACTGACCACACAGACTAGAATGATAACCCTACAGACTGTTCAGTACCTGCAGATCACATCCTAGGACTGCAACTCATCTCTTGGGTTGAGTAAAATCGAGCTACCTTCTCCTCCATCTGGTACATGGGAAGTGGGTATTTTGAACTCAAGTGCAGGACCTTGTATTTTTACCCTATTAAATTTTGCTACAGAACCTGCCCATTGCTGCATTCTGTCACGATTTTTAAATCCTGATTATTACCCTGAGTTTTCCATTGTTCTCAACTGTCTGAGACTCTGTTGGGCTGGAGAAAATCAAGTAACTTACCTCTAGAAGTTTGCTTCAAGTTTGGCATCTATCCCAATTGTCCTTGTGTTCTGGCCATAATTATTCTATCAACAAAGGTAATAGAAGTCTCTAACTGAATTGTCATCGTGGCTGCTGCAGCTGTCTCCCTGTTCATTGGAAGGAAAGGCAAAGTGGTTAGTAGTGACTCTCAACCCAGTTCAAATGAAGGCCCCTTAAAGGCCATCCTCTGAATAATCAGTCATCTTGCCAGGCATGGATCTAAAATTCACTAGGCTATGGATCACAGGCTCACCTTTACCATTTTGAAGTCAGAATGGCAACTGTTCTGTGTGCCCTTGAAGGTTACCAATGGTGTTTCACCTTTGTAAGGCTTGTGACACAGAACTGAGTCATTTGAATGCTGTATCATTGGGTTTTTGTTTCACACATCCTAAATTTCTGTCCCTCAGGCCGTATGTCTTCTAACCTTTATAGTCCTGAGAACATGCTTGCTAACCATAACCAAAACAAAGTCACAAGTAGCAGAGTTCAAGAGACTGGCTCAGGAACATAAGAGGGATGCCCAAGAAAGGCGGGGGAGGGGGGAAGAGCGCTTTGGATCAAGCCGGGAATGGTGTT